CCCCTGGACCAGCGCTGGTGGTCGCACTTGGAATTTGTGAAATATTTATATCAACCTGGCCCCATCCCAGGCTCTAGGTCTGCTAGCCTGGAAATCCATGGACTGGACTCAGGAAGGCAATGGAACAGGTCCATCCAAGGACTAGGATGAACACAAAAGTGTGAGAATCAGTGGACTGGATGAATTCTGAATTCCCATTGTGCGATTCCCAACCACAAGGGTGAAGGCACCCGTGGTCCAGCACCGTCTGTGAAGGAGCAAGGCTGGTTAAGTGTGGTGCTGCTGCAGGCGTTGCAGCTGAAGGAGCTGGGGTTCACGCCTTTATTTAATGGCCTCCAGCCCCAGATGACCCTTCTGCACTGTCACCTGAATGTCTAAAACTATTGTCCTGACAGGACATTTCCTGCAAGTCCACTGGCTGTACCCCAACTACTAAGTACCCCCCTTTAAGACCCAGGGTTCCCTCCACCTCCACAAGGGCTTGTGAGCAACTCTGCATCCATCATTTCCTCTCCTTACCTGAACCCCTTGGACCCCTAAAGCCCACAGCAACAGCACTGCGTCCTGGCGACACTGTCATGGAAAGTCCCCCAGATGTCCCCCCCCCATTACCTCACCTTGCTCAACCCCTGGGCCCCAGGCAAGTTCCCAGAGCCTCTCTGGCACAAACTGGTGTTTAACAAATTATTACTGATTGATTCTATAGGAGTCTCTGAAAATAACAAATCTGAGTCTTTGAACAACTTTTAAACCATGGCTGTTTTCCTTATCTTTGTTTTGTAGTCCAAAGGGATTCTCTGAAAGAGTCACATTAATTTTAAGAAGAGCTAATAAACCCACAAAAAGCTTAGAAATAGAGGAGCTCCCCAGCACTGTGTTAGACCCACTTGTGTGGATCAAGGGCATGTAATCGCTCCACAGATTTCTTCCCTTGTGACAAATTTATTTAGGCAACTAAAAAGTAAAAATAAAACCTAAAGCACATTTGAGCAAAAACTTCAATGATTTCAATAAAATGCATGTTGACTATAATACTAGAGAAGAAATCCAAATACCAGCAGTCATTTTTAGTATCGTGAATACTAGGCTGGGTTATTTGTGCGGTAATTACGGAAAATGTCCCTGGATTTTTTCAAGAGGTTTTCTTTCCATAGGAAGAAGAAAGGCCTGGGAAGATTGTGGTGGCCCTTGGCTGTCAGAACTGCTCTGTGAAGAGTCCTTTACTCAGAAGAGTCATGGGTCTGATGTTACCTCCAGCCTTTTGCTTTTACATGGGAATGTGGACATCTGAAAAGTATTGCACGTGTTTCCATACCAGTAGGTACACCAGGCTCCGAGGGGATGAACCCAGCCAGGTCATGTTGACCTCTTCATTCCCAGTCCAGTTCCTTGTTGAACTGAGTAAGACAAAAACAGCTAAATCCCATAGTTATGTGGGGGACAGAACCAAGTAAAGTTTATCCACCCACTCTTAAATTTTATTTGTACCACTCCCATTTGAAGAGGTTGCTTGTTTATACTAAGAGGCCAGTTGAAGTAGGACAAAAACGGACAGGGTCAAAGTCTGGGTCTCCATTGCGAAATGAACCAACATCATCTTAACAGATCTGTTATGGTTTCCTTGGTGGGTTGGAAGGTTGGTTTGGGTTTATGTGTGCAGTTTACAAAAATCTGTACTTTGTAATATTCAGGCTCTACTGGGTTTTGCTGAGCACTGCACACATGACCGCAGCTTGAGGGACGATTTCTACACAGCCTGGAACAGCCGGCTGGCAGCTGCAGAGCGGAGGTAGTGGCATTTCAGCCGGGGTGGTCAGTGAAAGACCTTTTATTGTCCAGTGGCAGAGGACCAGGCGGTAAAGTGTATTGTGTGCTGGGCAATCCTTTGAAATCAAAGGTGCTGGAGACAGAGAATGAGCCCTATTCAGCTTCATGGAGGGCAGATATGTGCCCAAGAACAGAGAGTGTCTTCATGGGGTTGGACACTCTGCTTTGGGTGGACAGGGGCATCGGTAGCAATGTCTTGAGGGTGTCCGGGAATGAAGGACCCTCTTGTGATTTCCCTGGGTGGCCCTGAGTCCAGGCAAACACAAGCACTGCTAAAGAATCCACTCCTGTTTTGAGAAGCGTATGAGGCCCTGCTGGAAGGACTGTCTCATGCTCCCATGCAGGAAGGCTGCAGAGTTTTCCCAAGGGCCTGGGGCTAGGGAACACACAGTCAGGAATCCTGCCGGGTGCCCAGCCATTCCCAGGTGACAGGTTACATTCTGCGACGGACCTCAGGTTGGCTCAGAGCCCCTGTGTGAAATGCACAGGGCAGGCATTTCCTATTTCCATTACATGGAAGAGGAAAATGGGGCCCAAGAGCTTAAAGGACTGGGCCGAACAGCTGTGACAAATGAACCAGGAGATCTGGGACTGAAACTCACAGCTCCTCATCCTCCTTGACCCTTTCTCCAACACTCAGTACTGTCGGAGCCTGAGGAAGAGGTATGAACCATGGTCTGAAGAAAGTCACCCTTCCGCGGGTCACATTCCTGCCACTCTCGGTCCCACTAGATTTCTAGTCTCCTCTGGTGGTGGGAGTGGGAGGCTGGATCAGGACACTCCCTTTAGCATGGCCGTAGCAAAGGCACACTGCTGACCCCATAGGACTAGCATCTTACAGGACAGCCTCAGCCTCTGACCCCAGAACCCAGGGCCTTGTGAACCTGTCAAACTCAGGCAAAGGCACGTTCAGATGAGAGCACTAGAGACAGAGACACACCAACTTCACTGAGCCTCAGTTTAAAAAAAGAACTTTAAAAATTAACCAAAGAGTAGTCCAAGATCTTCCACACTTCCGGTCACTCCATCAGGCCTCCAAAAATGCTGCAGGACTTCAGAATGCATCGGAGAGAAACGGCCTCTTGGGTGGAGAAGGGTTGACAAGACCATGTAGAATTTCTGTAGGTGGTGTGCCCTGGAAATATAAACCCCACAGCAGCCTGACTCCTGGGGAGCAGAGAGCTCAGTGGCTGGGCACAAGGGGCTTGCACTGGCTTAGCCCACAGCACAAAGGCATACGTCCGTAGCAGGGAAAGAGAGCACCACTTCCAAACATATTCTTGAACATACGGAGATCTTGACTTCTTTTTCCTAATTGGCAATGGCATAGAAATAAAATGGCCATGATAGGAGAAAATACACATTGTGGCCACCTTGACATAATGGTAGGCCAAAGGAGATTTTTTTTGTTTTCACTGAAAACAGATGACCTAGGAAGGGCCAGGGTTATAACTCAGCAGCATAGTGCCTGCCTGGCAAGAGTGAGGTCCTGAGTTCAATTTCTAGTACTAAAAAGGAAAGAAAAGATGACCTAGGACACTGATTTTCACAGTTTAGCTGTTATCAAAGCCTTCTGTTGGGTGTCAGATTCCTGAGTCCACTCCCAGAGTTTCTGACTGGGTTGATCTGAGGTAGAGCCAAGATATTTACCTTTATGATGCTGAGGTTACTGGTCTGGTGCTTTGAGGATCACTGACAGAGAACTGAAGAAACCGAACTGCAGAAGGAGCCATGCTGAGAAGGTTACTCTTTATAAGGACCTGAAATTCCAGCCAAAGCAGCCTGGGTTGCAGAACGCAGCCTGACTCTGCATGACTTTGAGAGGGATCAGGTAGTTGTCTTTCTCAATGACACATAGGACTGGAGTCCCATGAGCTCTGTGATGCTGCCCTCCCCCCACCCCAGACCTGAGCACAGGATGCCACCTGCAGGTCTCCAGAACTCTGTGACCATCCTTGCTTTGCAAGGATTTGCCATGAGTAACTGCTTTGAGCATCATTCTCAAACGAGCTCTATGAAAAACTTGTTATTCTACTACTTTCTCAGAGCTTCATCTTGTCTTCCATAAAACCTCTCTCTCTTTCCCATCTCTGTCTCTTTTGTTCTCACTCTCTCTCTCACACCTGCCTTTAAGCACTTCTCAAAATTTGATGATTCCCCCACATTATTTGTCAAAATACAGATTCTGATTTATAGGTCTGTTGTAGTGGGGCCTGGGACTCTGAATTTCTACTGACATCCCTGGGTGTGATGGTTAATTGTGAGATATCAACTTGACTTGAGGAAAAACCACTTAGCAGACTAGCAAAGGTCTGGGTATATCTGTGGGTGACTGGATGCAGGCTATGTCAGAGAAGACCCACCTGCATGTGGGTGGCATCAACCAATAGACTTGTAACCTGGATGAAATAAAAAGGGAAAGAAGTTGGAAATCCACCATTGTCTTTGGAGGAGCTCTGGTCTTCACCATTGCCTTTGGACATTTATCTCCAGTTCTTCATTCTTCTATCACAAACTCTCCAGCCTTCCAAAGCAGACTCTGGCTCTGGGACACAAACTCACACCAGCGACCCTGCAGTGACCTTCCAGGCCTTCAACCTTCAACCGCTGCTGACCCTCTGGCTCTCCGGCACAGAGACGGCCATTTTGGATTCTTTCTCCACTGATGGAGTGGGTGGCCACCGGGACTCCTCTGCTTCTGATCCTGTAAGTCTGCTCCATAAATCTCTTGTATCATCTTACATGTGTTTTATATTGATTTTGTTCCTCTAGTGAACCTTAACTAATACACTGGGTATGCTGATACTGCTGGTTCTTAGATACATGTGGCATAGAAATACACTCAGCAATTTGAATCTTTTTCAGATTATCTGTAAATCTTACCCTTTATTCCCTAATTATCTAGCCTGCTAGATGAGACTGCATGCTAATGGGAGATCAGACCTGCTGCTGTTGGCATGTGAGCTTAGCAACCACAATCTTGCCTTGCTAATAGCAGGCTGGGATGCATGCAAGTTCAGAAGGCCCTTGAGAATAAGGCAATAAGACCCTTAAGTTCAGGTACAGAGAGGTGAGATTTTGGTGTTAGGACCAGTTCTTTTTATCATTCCCCACGTGTGTGTCTGACTTCTTTTGCTGGTGAGAAAATCAATTCCTAGAGTAGATGAGTTGACTTGATTATTTATTTATTTGCAATTTATATCCTATCTCCTTCGAAAATTGATTTAAGGCTTAGGCTGACAATTAAAGTCAGGTGTAAAACTGTCCCCGTGTTTCCAGTTTCCTTCCTTTTGTGGAGAGGAAGAGGAGGAACTTCACTTTCCCAGACTCTTCTGTGGATGTTCCCAGCCACTCTTTGATGTTTCAGAGATTTCTTGGTATCAGATACAGTTCTCTGTTGTTTTCTCTGTTTTATGTTATCTGGGGGGAAAAAAAAGACAGCTCAAATCAAAATAACCTACTGCCAAGAATCAAAAGAGAAAGATAATTCATCAATAAATGATCATGTTCCTGACCCTGCGTGTTGTACAGGCCCATCACCCCATCTGTCACCAAGCCCTGAATGCTCTGTTTTCCCCGTCACTCTTACAGTCACTCTCCCTCCCTCATTTCCTTGGCTACCAAAGAGTCTGGCACTCACCAACTCTCTTCAGAAATCATTATCAATAACAGCATGACCAGTACCAGCACACATGGGCTACCTGGCAGGAACCAGCCACTCTGCTATGAAATTTTGTGTCACTTCCAGCTCTCACTGTAATGTTATATAGTAGGTGCTGTTACCCAAATTTTGCAAGTGACAAATTTAAAACTTAGAGATGAATCAACCCAAGTTTTCATGACCATCAAGTACTCTAGAAGCAGAAGGGAGTTCAGGTGCACAACCCAAGCTCTCTCCGTCATGGCTAACATCCTCCTCCTGTGGCTTCCATGTGTCTCTCTACCTACACATCTGCCCATGTGGTTATTTGTCTGTCTCACATTATTTAAAAAATAAATCCTGAAATTTCTTAGAAATGACTATTTACACTTGACCTACAGGTCTCATTCCTGAGTAGGGTATGGAGACAAGGTAATCAGTTCTTCTCCTGTAAGTGGGTAGGCTCAGCGAATAACTCCTGCCCTTGCCTGGGATTGTCTGCCTGGTTTAAGTCCCTCTTACACAATGTAGCCTCCAGACTCTGGCCAAAATCTTCCTCATATTGCTCCCTTGTTTCACAAATGAACAAAGCAAGGGAGAACCCTTTGTTGCTGCCAGTATCAGAATGCATTTTTCCAAGCCGGGGGAACCCAACATCTTATGAAGCAAAGCCAACCACTGGGAGTACCAGGTAGCTGAATCGCTAGACTTCCTTGCAGTGTGTCCAGGCATGTGACTTAGGACCACCACATGACAACATGACCCCAAATTCTAAGTAGGAAAAGGCCTCTGCCCTGGAGAGCCCTCTGTGACAAAGCATGGTGATAGCTACGTCTGATTACTAGAAGTGGGTATGACCAGTTTTAGCAGCAGAGTCCAGGACTATGGTTCCCTGGAAGGAGCTGAGCTCTGGACCCCCTGGCTGTAAGAGAAAGGTTTCTGGTGACCCATTGCTTGGTACCTGGAGACTGGACTTCTGAAGCATTTTGGAGACTCCCAGTGCTTCTTGCTATTGACCGTTCACATCTAAGCCGCCAGCACTGGGTTTAGGCCTTGCTGCTAAGATGCTGCCTGCTAAGAGCCCCTTTCCTTGACAAAGAAGGGAGCCCACCTTGGCTCTCTTGTATCACACATTCAGATGTGGAGCAACAGAGGGGACTTTGCAGGAGACATCCTTGATCTCTCCACTCTATCATTTTCACTGACAAATTTACTTAAATTGATCTGTGTGTCCTGCCCCAGTAGGAGGGACTGCTGTGGGTCTGGCACAGGCATCTGCTATGAATACTGAACTACCAGATGTGCACAGACAGCCACCACCACAACCGGAAGAGAGGCTGGGGGAGAGACGGGGGGATGAGTGAGAGAGCCTGGCACAATACATTCCTCACATGTGGTCCACCTGGGTGCAGACACTCTGGGCTAACCACCGGTGTATCCTTCTGGTGCCCCTGAGTATCCTCCTGGCCCTCCTGTGATTCGGAGGCACATCACACTCAAGAAGCCAGTCCAGGACCCACAGCTACAACATCAAAATCAAACAAGCGGGCCCTGTCACATTTTTCTTTGGGGAACTGAAATTGTGAGGAAAAAATATATATGTATAAGCAGGCAGGTAAGGTCATGCTTCTGGGACAAGATTTGAGAGGCTTCGTGGGCCATGGAGCAGGCCGGCTAGGAGGTTACATGCAGAACAAGAAAACAGGTGAAACTTGAGGGAGATCCTGAAGAGTGAGAAAACAACTGAGTGCCTCTAGGGGTGGTGGCACACACCTGCAACCTCTGTGAGGCTGAGGCAGGAGGATCATGAGTTTGAGTCCAGCCCAGGCAACTTAGCAACACCCTGTATCAAAATCAACAATTTAAAAAGGACTGGGGATATAGCTCAGTGTGAAAGCTCTGAGTTCAATCCACTGTACTGGGGAAAAAGTAGCTAAACCCCATTAATGGGGAGAAGGGTGAAGCCCAAGAACTACAACAACCCAGTACAACAACTTTCCCCCCCTCGGTGAGGCCACCTGATTTCCTCGGGTGTCCACACACACATGCTTCCTGAGCAAAGGAGACACAGCACTTGAGGTCTTTGGAGGACAGCTCTTTATCTGGACATGAGGACTAATGCTTCTGCCATGGCAGGAACCTGCTTCCTAAGCTGACTTCAAGGGTATCAACTTCCTCCCAAAGGCACAGGAGAACTCATAGAGTTCTCATAGAGAACCAGCCATTGCCAATGTCACTTGGTTACGCTGGAGCTTCATCAAGGTCGTGTGAAATGAGTGGATATGCTTTTCTAGGAAACAGTATCACTGAGGCAAAAATGATCTCCACTAGCTCATACTATAGCATTGCATTCTCCTCACGGCCAGGGCTCCATTTTACCCCTTCATTTCTTGTCATCCTTCCTTCCATTGTTCTTGGCATTGTCCAGCAACTTTAGCTTCAGCCTCTGTAGGAGAAAAGACTGTGGTCTGCTCACGTGTTCAATGGCCTGTTGATGAAAGGAAGGTTAGACTCAGGCCTTGCAAAGTGTTGCTGATCTCCTGCTTTCAGAGCCAAATTTAAACTCCTCACTGCTTTTCAAAGTCCCTCCTTACCAGGCTCCACCGTCCCTGCCCAACTGTATTTTCCTTGCCAATAATAACCCATTAACTCAGGCCTAGACTTCCATTTTTATAAAAGGGCTCATGTAGATTTGCCTCAAACAGCTAATTTGTCATAATTTCTAAGCACATTATATCCCTGGGACAAGGCTGGAAAAATAACGTCTGGGCCCTTGAAGATATTTCTTCGCCTTACTGTTGTCACAGCTAAATGCAGAGATTCATTAGCCCTTGTGAGAAATGCCTGGCTGTCATTCTTGGGAGATATTACAGTTACTATGCAGGAGCAAGTCAGTGTTCAAAGGAAACTGAAATCTCTCCCTTCTCTGAACTCCATAGACTTTAGGTTTACAATTCTCACAGCCTTATCCTGCCAGAGGTTTGTCTGATCCATTTCCTTACATGTGCAGCTCAGCTCCCCAATGCTGTCTACCCTGTGACTGTAGGTGTGGCCCTCCTGGCCCCTAACTAACTGTGACTGCCATTAAGAAGGTAATTTGTGGTTTGCTTTTACTAAATGTAATCATTCCTGAAGCTGAATATTTATTTTTCATTTTAAAGAAACTACATTTTAGGCCACTCTTCATTTTCCAAGCTAGGGGATGGATGGTCTTTGTCTGTTTTCTGCTGCTGTAAGAGAATGCCATGGACAGGGTAAATCATAAACAACAGAAGTTTCTTTGGAAGTCCAAGAGCATGACAGCGAGCCCTAGAGAGTGCCTTTGTGTGGCATTCTATCATGGCAGAGGGGCAGGCAAATATGGGATGGGGTGGCTGAACCCATTCTTTAGATCAAGAGCTCACTCCTGAGATAAGGACATTAATGGATCTATGAGGGTGGAACCCTACCTCATGTCTCCTCACCTCTTCAAAGTCCTGCCTCTTATGGTGTCACAAGGACAGGTAAGTGTCCACATGATGTTTGCAGGGCTAAATGACTTTTGTATTTCTGGAATTATCTCTCAGAGTCCTCAGAAAAATTTGCAGCAGGAATCACTCCCATGATCTTGCAGAATGGGAACATCCTTTGGCAGGCAAACACACTTCCTGTCTTCCTGGTCTTCCATGCTGCTGGTCCTTAGGAAATTAAGAGCGTGACTGAGGTAAGGCCTTCAAAGTGAAAGACTGTGCCCCTTGACTCAGCAGCAAGCAATCTGCAAGAACCTCCTCAGCCATCTTCCAGAGTCTCTGCATGTGTGAGCCTCAGGAAACAGGAGGTTCATAGACACATTGTACCAACCTCTCTGTCACTGACTGAATACGCAACTAAACTGTGAATTCCTGGCCTCTACTCCATGTCTATATGAGCAAGAGCTTTGAGAATGAATGTGAAGCACCTCATCTGGCTTTGATGCACACGTTAATTTAAGAAAGTCTCTTAGCTTGAGTCTGTGTAGCCATCAAAGTAGGCCAGTTATGCTGTAGTAACACCACCGAAATCTCAGCCACTCGGTGTGAGAAAAGTTAGCACCTCACCCACCTGAGGTCTGCCATGGGTAAGGGACCTCTCTGGGAAGTGCTCCTCCCTGCAGTGATTCAGTGGTCTGGGCTCTACTGATCTGGGGGCTGCTCCATTCCAGCCCGAGGCTTCACTTTCGCTGTGTCAGAAGAAGGGAACCTGTCTACCACTGTGAGCTGTGAAACATAATACTCTGTGTTCATCATCCTCAGGAAAGAGAGGAGAGCTGGAAGCACTAGTGATCATCAGTGCGGTCCAGCGTGGTAGGCCAGAAGGGTAGGTAAATTAATATTTGCATTTCTCAGGTTCATTCCAAATTCTGCAGCCCTCCAGAGAGGAGAACCAGAGCAAATCATCATTTGCCTTGCTAGGCTCTTTCTTTGTCTGTTTGTGCAATGAAAATAAATTTTTCTCACACAATGTTCACAAAGAGAGAAAGATGCTGATACTGCTATGAAAATCCAAGGGAAGCTACCAGTGCTGCAGAGGAATTCACAGCCTTTCTAGGCCCCAGATGGCTTCTTTACTGCTCCCTTGTGGGACTCAGGGCTTCAGTTCTCATTCTCTTCTTCTGCTCTTGACCTTTCTTTTCCCTGAAGTTTTCCTGCTCCTTGGTTTATGATGAAACATGTAAGTCTGTGCAATTTCTCCTTCTCTTCCTCTGCCTGAAGAAAGCACATAAACCCTTGTGTTTGCTGGTTACAAGAACAAAAGCAGAGCTGGGCACAGTGGCACCTGTCTGTAATGCCAACTGCTCAGGAGGCTGAGGCAAGAGGATCACTTGAGCCTGTGAGTTTGATGCCAGCCTGGGCAACATAGTGAGATCCCACCTTACAAAAAACCACAAAAACCAGAGGGAAAATAGACAAGGGCCAGCATATAGGGTAGGAGTGGTAAGAAAATTCTTGCTCTCAGACTGGATCCAGGGAAATAGAGGTCAGATAAATGTTTTTGTTGATCCACTTGAGTTTTCTCCTCTCTGCTCCTGGAAGAATGGACTGTGTGCCCTTTGGCTAAGCAGAGACTGGAAGCAGGAGATGATCCGTGGACAGGACAAGGGCCTACTGTGACTTCAATTGCATCTCGGGAGGAAGCCAGAGGCTCTGGGACACCAACTGTGAGAACCTTGGACGGACCTTTGTGAGTTCGTGAAGTTTTAAAAGAACCAACTTCTCCCTGGATGAGAAGTGGCATCCTGTACTCTACCAGCCTCGGATGGACTTTGCATCTAGATGTAGGTGTGTGCCCGAGGGTACTACAAGCATAGAAGGAGGATTCCAGAGGTCAGCGTGGCCTGAAATGGGAGCATAGTGCAACTCTGAGACAGGTGCAGTGGCAGCTTTAGTAGAAAGTTACAAAGACAAATATGTATGTAACAACTCCATTTCTACACACACACACACACACACACACACACACACACACACACGTCATGTGTGATTTTAAAAGCATCTGGAACATCACCAGAAGCCATGTTTGAAGGCCTGTCCCCAACCTGCAGTGCTCTTGGGAGTTAGTGGAAGCTGTAAGAGGTGGAGTTTAGCAAAAGGAAGTGACATCACTATGGTGTGGCTTTAACAGGCTCTTGGAACTCCACCCCTTCCTGTCTTTGTATCCTGGCAGCCATGAAGTGGGCAGCTCCTCCACCCGGCACTCTCACCACAGTTGGGTGCCCCAGGCCCAAAGCAGTGGGACCAAATGACTGTTCCTGGAATGTCTCAAACAGTGAAAATACATCTTTTCCCTACTTAAGTCTATTTTCTCAATTATTTGTCTCTGGGATGAAAGCTAACACACTATTCAAAGTGTGACTCAAAACACCACTGACGCTGGGCGTAGTACTTCCAGTCCTCCTTGATAGAGCTCTAATTTCTCTAGAAATCTCTGTTTCCAGAGGGCAGGAAGGAGACTGGAGACATGGTCTGGAAGCATGACTTTACAGGCAAGGAAACTGAGGCACAGAGATGTGGTTAGAAGCTGAAATGAGACCCAAAGAAGCCAGATTCTTCAGCTCTGAACCCTTTAACACCCTACTGCCATTGAGCCTCAGAGACACTGCAGAGCAGAAAAGGACGGGCTTCTCTGAGCTTCTTTTCTTCAGTGAATACACCTGATCTTTTTCTGTGACTGAGCAATAACAACCACAAGAGCCCACTGGTGGGTAAGTAGATTGATCACCTCTCAGATTCCTGTCCCAGACGCAGGGTGCTCATGGAATCTCCTCTGATCAGTGCAAGAAAGCAATCTGTGCTGAGTCACGATCAGGGAAATGTGGCCAGAGGCAGGTGCCGGACCTGTGTTACCTTCCTTTCCTCCTTCCCCACAGCTTTTCTCTGGGCTATCTGAGGCTGCATCAACCAGTTTAAATCTTTGTGTATGGGGAAAATTAGGCAAAACAGTCTCTTCTCCTTGTGCTTCCTCCTCTTAACAAGAAAAACGACTCCATTCTATCCTTGTAAGAAAATGCTCACATAGGTACAGTCAAGCGTCCCTCACTTCTCGGGTGGCCAAGACAAATTGTGTTTACCATTCCTGCAGAGTCCCTTGAGCCTTTGTTTCCCCAACAGATAGTCACATAACCTTCAGCTTCACACCTCCAGGCCATACCCTTCTCATCTACCGTACGGACACCTCGTGACCAGGGCAGGCCTGGCTGCAGAGGCAGAGAGCCTTCCCTAAAACACAGCTTCTGCTCATGGAGGCCTGGCCCACTGTCTATGGACTTTCCAAGTTTTCTACTCAGCCGCTGGAGACTCTTGCTTATCTCCCCCAAATAACTTAATACAGCAAGACAGAGACCTCAGATTTCATTCTACCTTTACAGCCATGGCGCAGAATGACCCCCATCAGCTATATTCCACCTTCTTACACGTGGAAGCGAGATTTTTAACTAGACTCACTGTTATGGTTTACATCTGTTTATTTGTTTAGATCTCGGGACCCAAAGCCTCAAACTCTCATAGGTGGGGATTATGGGGGCTGCTAACTGACTAGCTATTAGGAGATAAGGTCTGGTGGACGAGGTGGGTCAGTGACCCAGAAGGAAGGCCGTGTCTCCCTCCATGGCTCCTCCCTTCTCTCTCTACTTCCTGTCTGTCGCCCAGTGAGCAGCTCTCCCTACCACGCCCACTGCCATGCTGTCCTTTCTTGGCGACCGCTGACTGTGGACTGAAAGGTGAGTCAAAATTAGCCTCTTCTTCCTCAAACCTCTACATCTTAGGTTCCCCATCTGTAACCTGGAGGTAATTTTGGAACAACCTCATGAGAGAATTAAATAAATATGGATGCAAATTAAGTATATGTCTATAAAATAAATGTAGTGGTTAGATATGTGTGAAATGCTCAGAATGGGGCCAATTAAATCTTAGCCACTGTTACTACGTTACATGACTGTCTTTTCCTCCTATACAATCAACTGGACCAGTACTGAACTTCAGACAGCAATGCGATTCACAGGTTTGGCAGCAGCCTATGCTATGGCCCATCAAGAAATACCTTCTGGCCAGACCCACTCATCCTGGAATCTGCAATCAGACATGTTTGGAGAGGGAGGTGGACAGACAAGGGAGCAGAAGTTAAAAGTTAAAATAAAGAAAAGCTTTGGATACAGAAAAGGCCACAAGGGCAAAACCCAATTAGAATTGTAAGGGTTAGAAACACACATGGGCAGAAGCTGAGACAAGTGAAAGGAATAGAGTAGAAGAGGGAAGGAGCCCCTCAGGGTGGGATTTGAGCAGATTAGAACAGGTGTGGGAAGCCTCAATGGTAGTTTCAGCAGGGGAAGCTCCAGGAGCCTTGCTTGCCCTGACGTTCCAGTTTCTTGAGGCCTGATTTCTGGTTTTCCTGATCTTGCTTGGGCCAGGCCATTCCTGGGCTCCTGAGCACATCTATGCTTACAACGAGCCATCTGTTATCTGACATCCCTCCCATGGATCTCTTGGTCTCAACCCACACAACCAAGTTACCAGAAAAGACAAAGGCCAGAATCTGCCCCACTCACACTTCCACGCTCATCTCGTGGCTTCTTACTTGCCCATGTGAGGTGACACGGCCACAGCACGCTCAGGACCTTCCTCCACGCTCCGACTTCATCTGACGCCCTGCCCCCTGCCTCCCCCGCACTTGTGGATCTCAGGCACAATGGCTCCCCTCAGATCTCATTACTCTATGTGCAAACCTGGTCTCTGTCTTATGTGAACTCACGCTTCTCATTGTGTGCACCTGCAACCTCCTTCAGCAGCCCTCTCTCTGCCTGAGGCAACTTTGACCCTCATTTCAAAGCCTGGAAGAGTCTGGGGTCAACACATCTCCCTGCCCCTGCCTACCATGGCCCTCAGCCACAGGCCAGCTAATGGGAGACTGTGAGAGCCCAATCCCTTTGCTTGGAATCATGGGGCAGGCTCTGAAATACAGCTCCCTCCTCAGGGCTGAAAGATCTGGCTAACCCCATCCTCCACAGGACAGGAGCAGAAATCTCATCTTACTGGGATCTCCTCTGGATTCTCTATTGTTCCCTACACTCCTCTCCCAGTTTCCCCAGAGCCACTTCCTTCATCACTCATTTGCCCAACGCACATCTGGATCTGCCTCTGAGGCCACCAGGCTAATGCTCTTTGCCTCTGTGAGTCCATCACACATTAGAATAATGAACAGCACACCTACTGATTTTGTGTCTGCTAAACTATGAGTTCCTCAGAAAGGACGGTTTCACCTTGCTTATTTCCTCAGTGTTTAGCACAATCCTCAAAAATCCTATTTACAAGTACACTTTCTGTGTATTACCTACAATTACCCTAAATCCATAAAAAGGGAAAATTATATAAAATAACTGATTTCTATGAGGAAATTAGTTTCCTCATATGTAAAGAGAAGATTTTTTTATACCTAAGATCCCCCAAGTCTATGATTTCATATTTGATCAAGACGATGATGATTTTTTGTAATCAACCTTGTTACTTAATGGCCCAAATCAGAAAAGATGTGAAAACCTGGATGATTTTTAAGTCTGAATCAAGAAATCTGATTGTCCAGGGATGATTTCTCAATCCTCCATTTTATAAGCATCTCCAAATGACTCTGATGGCTGCACACATATTATTTAAATCTTGCCTTACAAATTCATTCATTAACTTATCATGCAATAAATATTTATTGAATAGTACTATGCTCAAAGAACTGGAACCAATAGGAGGAATAAATAAGCTTGGATATACAGTTGAAATATGTATAGCAATGTACAGTCAAAAATGCATGCCTGTGTATTAACTCAAAGCATTGCAAACTGGATGGTGATTAACACAATCCCATTTTACCCAGGACCCATAGGGAGGTCCACTGGCTCCTCCTACATCGCAGAGCCAATAAATGGAGGCCTCAACTCCACTAGTCTTCTGGCTTCAAACCTCATCCCACTTCTACTCCACCACACCACCTTTTCCCTGCAAAATACCCCAGGGATCAGTGCTTTACCACATTTTTCTCATTTGTTTTAGCTCTAGATTTAGGGGTCATCTTAAAATGTCTCCGAACATTATCCTTCAACATGAGATTTTTTTTATGTTCAAATGCCTATTCCATAAGGGGACTACTGCTTGTGCTCATTTAATCTCTGTTTAGTCTTCGCAAGTGATGTGATTTTATTCCTAAGGAAACACAACACCTTCTTTTTTGGGCATACGTACCAACTGAATAAAAATGTAGGTGCTTATAATAGATCACACCTGTAAATAAAGTTATGTTTT